CCTGTACAGGGTTTCCGAGGGTGTAAATCTTTACGGGAGTAGAAAGCCTCATCTTTCTCCCGCGGAGCAGCTGGTAGTTTCGAACCACTGACCTTGGTTCGCAACCCAATTCATAACCAAACCGCTTTAGAAACAGGTTTGGCACACTTTTATGAAACTAAGCATATACCTCACCTACGCTGTTGTTTTTTGTTGTTGTTATTAAGTGCCATGAAGTTGGTTCCAACTCACAGTGACCTTGCATAGGGCATCCCTGGAGCAGCTGGTGAGTTTGAACTTCCAACCTTAGGGTTCAAACTGACCCAGAGGTCAAGTATTTATCCTATGGCACCATATCAGGAGTCACCTATCCTATACCCTAGCAATTCCACTCCTAGATATTTAATTTATCCAAGAGATGTGATAGCATGTGTCCACAAAAAGACTTAGAAAAAAAGGTTTGGAGCTGCTTCACTCATAATAACCCCACACTGGAAATAATCCAAGTGTTCATCAGTAAGAGTCCATCAACAAACACATTATGGCATATTCTTACAGCGTCCCTGTTAGTATTGTCTAAAGATCACTAATTGAAGAAAGAGATAATGGGGAAAAAAAAGATCACTAATTGAAGAAAGAGATAATGGGAAAAAAAAGATCACTAATTGAAGAAAGAGATAATGGGGGAAAAAAGATCACTAATTGTTTCATTTTCAGTGGCATAAAACTGTTGTTCTTGTTAAGTGACATAGAGTCGGTTCCAACCCATACAGACTCTGTATAGGGTTTCTAAGGAACAGCTGGTGAGCTTGAACCATCGATCTTGCCATTCAAACCAACTTTGTAGTCCAGCGCATTAACCCACAGCACCACACCAGGACTCCAGTATGAAACTGTGGTGATGGTTATGTGCCATGGAGTCGGTTCCGACTCATAGCAACCCTGTATAGAGTTTCCGAGGTTGTAAATCTTTACAGGAGCAGAAAACCTCATCTTTCTCCTGTGGAACAGCTGGTGGTTTCGAACTGCTGACCTTGCAGTTCGCAGCCCAATTCATAACCACTGAACAGGCTAAATTATTTTAAGGTAGAAAACATGTCAACAGTGCTTGCCTTCAGGGATGGAGGCATGAGGGAAGACTCCAGGGTGATGGTAATGTTCTGTGTCTTGAGAGAGGATTGGGTTATACAGGTATCTGAGTTGTCAGCAGGAATTAATTAAGAGTATTTAAGATCATTGCAGTTCACTGTCTGTGAATTTTACCCCCAAAAAAGGTAAGTGAATACTAAACTTGAATAAATAATATGTGCAATGTGAAGTGAATCAAACCTACAGCTTACTTTAAAAAGAAAAAATCTATGATGGAGTTGTGAGCGAGGCAGGCACAGGTGGACGATGTTGAGTTGATTCCGGCTCATGATGGCCGCATGTGTTCAGAGTAGAACTGCTCCACAGGGTTGTCAAGGCTGTGACCTTTCAGAATCCCATCTCCAGGCCTGTGTTCGGAAGGGCCTTGGGGTGGGCTCAAAATTCTAACCATTCCACTGGCAGTTGAGTAGTGGTCCGGGCCACCCAGGAACTATATGTATTAAAAGCATTCATTGTAGAACACAGTAAGTAGGTACACAGATGTTCATAACAAAATATTGGAGAAAAACATCTGAAAAGGACACATGTACCCTGCAGGACACCTTTGGTCTTCTTCTGTACTGGACTGAGTTTAGGAGACAACAAACAGCCCACACAGCATGCTTACAACCTGGAAAGAAAATGGGCCATGCGCCAAAGGCATAAATAAGCATAAACTCATGCCTTACAAAAGTCTGAGATGTCGAAGTCCATTTTCTCAGAGGATGGCAGTCATTAGTATCCAAGGACATGAGCTGTGCCCAAGAAGTTACTAGTAAAGAGGGAAGGACACAAAAATGACAGGGTCAGTGGAAAGTGATGAGCACATCCATGCTGGGAAACTCCTGAATTAGGCTGGTTCCCAGAGAAAGAAACCAGGTGGAGAGGAATGCTCGGACCCACCCAGAACACGGGATTCTCCACAATAGCTGAGTTCATTCCAGTAAATGACTGATGCACATTCGAAGAGTCACTCACAACTAATTGTGAAAAAAAAAACTAAGGCACATCCTAAACAGGCCTAATTAACAAGAGAAACTCCTAAATGAGGATCTACTTCACCTCCTGACATTAAAACAAGAGAATAATAGTTCTTACCCTTTAAGAGACTGAAAAGGCCTAGAGAGTTTGAGAAAGTGATTGATGGAAAGTTTCCACTTGAAGCAAGTCCCTGACTCCCTTCTCTAATCAAAGGGTATCTTGAAAATTATGCTCCTCCTTTAGCTCTAGGTCTATTATGAAAACAATGGAAACCAACAGCACACCGGATGCATTTTACCTGAAGATCCCAAACAACTCTGTTTCCCCACCATCAAAGGTGCAGTTATTGTACTCTTCTCTCTCCATCCAGAGCCAAGAAGAGTGAAGAAAGATCAAAGCAGCATGGGAACAATTAAGGCAAAGGGCTAATGGACCAAGTGACCCTGAGCCTTCACAACCCTGAGTCCAGAAGGACAAGATGGCACTTGGCTCCCACTGCTGACCACTCTGAAAGGGATCACCCCAGAGGGTCCTAGACAGAATGGGAGAAAAATGTGGAGCAAACCTCAAAATAATAAAAAAAAAATGGACCAGACATACTGGCCTGATGGAAGCCCTGAGACGATGGCCCTTTTTCCATCCTGAGATTGAACTCACCCTCGTGGCTCATGTTTCAACCAAACAACAGACAAGCCCATAAGGTGAACAATATCACCAGGGAGGTACACACTCCTTACAACAATCAACCAGCTGAGCTCAAACAGACAGCATGTGTTGAGGGATAAAGCTCGGCAGGCAGGAAGGAGTAGGAAAGGAGGATGGTGGGAAACAGTTAACACAGGAGGAAGTGGGAAGAGCGCTGTGACACTGTAGGGACTGCAATCCGTGTTGCGAAACAAAAAGCCTACGAGTTGTTTAATGGAAAACCAATGTGCTCTGTAAACTTTCACTCAAATCACAATAAAAAGTTTCCCCCCCAAAAAAAAAATCGTGTTCACTCAAACAAACACCACCTGACTGAGGACCTCCTGCTTTTAGATCTGAAGATAATGGCCTTCAGGAATTCCACAGGCTCACTTGCTGAACACCAAAGCCCACACTGTCACATTGGATTCTACTTAAGATATAGATAGGAGTGATAAGGAGAGTTTTAATGGAGACCGAATGATTTCACTGACGTGGGTTCCAAAGCTTATCTTTTAAATCCCTTTGGTGACAGTGGCAACTGGGGAGGTTCTTCAAGGTGCTCTGTATGTCGTTAAGAGAGACCATTCCAGAGGCAGTCACCCATTCCCTTGTCACAGAAGCTTTGTTCTCTTCACAAACCAAATGAGCCATTACCTGGGTAGCCCAATGAATTTGCATGTGCCAAGCACCAAGCAAAGCATCGTAGAGTCCAGTGAACTGTCGGTCCAGGGGGAGGTCACTCTGGCACAACTCTTGCCAGGTTGCTAAGAGCTGCACCTGCAGGGGCAAAGCAGAGGGAGCTTTACAAGTATGCCTGGACAAATGCCCTGCCCTTCTGCCAAGCAAATGACAGCCAGTGATGTTCACTCGTTTAGGAAAAAGGTGGGGGAAACACCCCAGAACTTCTCATAGTCACCTGCTTTGATCATCATCCAAAGCTTGAATAGGATGCCTTCCAAGTGATCCTCTCTGCTCTAATCCTGCCCCCAAACTATGCCTTCCCCTAAGCACACGACCCCCTCCCCCTTCTGAACAGGCCTTAGCACAGCGAGGAAATATGTGTTCAAGCTTCATGTCCTAACACTACTGCTTCAAGACCTATGAGCAGTGGACTTGGAAAAGTTAAGGTTAGCCCAGGAAGCATTTAAGTTTTTCAGTAATCTTACTTCAGCAACCCTGTTGTTGTTAAGCGCTGTGGAGTTGGCTTCAACTCACAGCGAGACCCTGTCTAGCATGGGTGGGGAACTTCTGGCCCATGGCGAAATCATTTGGTCTGATTCTTCCAAGGCAACCAAATTTCCAGCCACACATTAGCTGTCTCTGTTGTTAAGTACCATCAAGTTGTAGGGCTGAGATAATTAAATGTGTGACCGAATAGAGCCAACTAATTTTTAAGTTGATAATTGCAGGTATGGCCTACAAATGATGTTATAAATATCCAAATGGCCCTTGGCAGAAAAGAGGTTCCCTACCCCTGCTAGCGTAGTGGTTACGAATTGGGCTGCGAACCTTAAGGTCAGCGGTTCGAAACTACCAGCCGCTCCGCGGGAGAAAGATGAGGCTTTCTACTCCCATAAAGATTTACACCCTCGGAAACCCTGTACAGGGTCGCTATGGGTCGGAACCGTCTCGATGGCACTTAACAACAACAACAACAACCAGCCCTGCTGTATATGGTTTCGAAGGAGTAACTGGTGGGTTTGAACTGCCAACCTTGTGGTTAGCAGTCTACTGCTTTTCCTACAGTGCTACACCAGGACTCCTCAATGACCCTAAAAAACATAAAATTCGTATGGTTTGCTGAGGGTATAATAAAACTGCAGACACGAATCTTCCTTAAAAAAAACAAACATGAGAAAAATTAAAACAAGTAAGTTTGTCCACTAAATCCTTCTCTCCAAACAAAAGAGGATGAAAATTGATACCTTTTTCCCCCAGATGGCAATTAATGAATGAATCGATAGGCTGGGCCAAGAGCACCCCCTACTGGCTAGTTCAAAGAAAAGGGGCAAGATGTTGGGAAGGCAATTTTTTTCTTACCTTTGAGCAGAAACTGGAATTGCAGCGTAGTAAGTATTACAAATTCTTACCTTGTGACACTTATAGTAGTATGCAAGAAGTTGAGGCATCCGGTCAATTTCAGTAAAGATTTTCATAAACATTTTGGCTTGATCTGAGGAAAAGAAAGTAAAACATTGCTGTGACCAGGTTTTCTGCTATAGCAGCCACAAGAGAGAAATCACTAGGAATAGTGTAGCTATACGTAAGCTAATATTCAGAAGTTCTCACTCAGGCATAGAAAATATGAAAAACAGGTAAAGGGCACAACATACACCTCGATAATTCACAACATATGCCATACCATGTGCCTTGCGGTCCAGCGCATTAACCTACAGAGCCACATCAGGACCTCACAGTACAGGCGTAGAAACTGCAGTCAAAACACATGGATGTCAGTGGCGCAACTGCTGTACTTCAGCGCATGCTGTATCCTATGGCACTGCTGCTACTCGATCTTTTCTGGCCTACAAAAGCAGCAATTTCATAGGCGCTAATGGTGTGGCGCTGTGGGTTAATGCATCAGACTGCCAAGTCATTTGAACCGCAAGGTTGGTGGTTCAAGCTCACCAGCTGCTCCTTGGAAACTCTATACAGTGTCACTAGGGGGTCGGAACCGACTCAACAGCACTCAACAACAAACAACATCAACTAAGTAGAATTTGCCACCATAAGAAACCCATTTAGTAGAAACATTTAAAAACTACAAGGTCTTTAGCTTATACAGAGGAAGTCAAGCTTTTCAATTAAATGTGTAACATTAAATTAATAGCCAATTATTTTTAAAAGTGGATGAAATTCATGATTGATACAACTGAAAGAAAATGAAACCCTATTTTGGCAACCAATAAGAAAAAGAACCACTAAAGATTGGCAGTTCAAGCCCATGAGCAGTTCCATGGGAGAGCAATGAAACTTTCTGCTCTTGTAAAGATCTGCAACCTCAGAAACCCTATACAGAGTAGCTGTGAGTCTGAACTGACTTGATGGCACTTAACAACAACAATGGTTAAAATTACTTTAAAACAAAGATGACAATGTAAAGGGGCAGGGAAACTAGATTAATGGAAATGGAACGACCAGAACAGAAATCATGAGAATGTTCATGCATTGTGAAAACCTGAAAACAATGTTACAGAACAACGTGTGTAAA